GCTCAGCTGGGCTCCTGGGGCTGGGGGGGGCAGGGGTGGCTGCAAACGGGAGATGAGGGAGCAGTTCTGCAGGAGAGGCAGGGGAGGGGGAACACCACTGCTGGAGAGGCAGGAGAGAGGGAACACCACTGCAGGAGAGAGGGAACACCACTGCAGGAGAGGCAGGGGAGGGGGAACACCACTGCAGGAGAGGCAGGAGAGGGAACAGAACAGTATTGCTGGAAAGGCAGAGGTGTGGAAGCACCTATTGCTGAAAGGGCAGGAGAAGAAGGAATAAAACAGGAATTGCTGAAAAGGCAGGAGGTGAGAGAACAAAATAGGTATTGCTAGAAAGGCAGGAGGTGTGGAAGCACCCATTGCTGGAAAGGCAGGAGGTGAGGGATCAGGTATTCCTGGAAAGGCAGGAGATGAGGAACAGGTATTGCTGGAAAGGCAGGAGATGAGGGAATAAAACAGGAATTGCTGGAAAGGCAGAGGTGTGGAAGCACCCATTGCTGGAAAGGCAGGAGATGAGGAACAGGTATTGCTGGAAAGGCAGGAGGTGAGGAACAGGTATTGCTGGAAACAGATGAGGGAGCAGGAACTGCTGGAAAGGCTGGAGATGGAAAGAGCAGATATTGCTGGAAATGGGAGCTATGGAAGCACCCATTGCTGGAAAGGCTGGAGATGAGGGAATAAAACAGGAATTGCTGGAAAGGCTGGAGTTGAGGGAGGAGAACAGGTATTGCTGGAAAGGCAAGAAATATGGAAGCACCCATTGCTGGAAAGGCAAGAGGTGTGGAAGCACCTATTGCTGGAAAGGCAGGAAAGGAGGGAACAGGGATTGCTGGAACGGGAGATGAGGGAACAGAACAGGGATTGCTGGAACGGGAGATGAAGGAACAGGACAGGGATTGTTTGGAACAGATGATGAAGGAACAGAACAGGGATTGCTGGAACGGGAGATGAAGGAACAGGACAGGGATTTTTTGGAACAGATGATGAAGGAACAGAACAGGGATTGCAGGGATGGGAGATGAGGGAACAGAACAGGGATTGCTGGAACAGGAGATGAAGGAACAGAACAGGGATTGCTGGAACAGAACAGGGATTGATGGAATGGGAGATGAGGGAACAGAACAGGGATTGCTGGGATGGGAGATAAGGGAACAGGGATTGCTGGAACAGGAGATGTGGAAGCACCTATTGCTGGCAGGGCTGCACACCTGGCACAACCTGCTGAGCTCTGAGAGTAACTTTTTAAATTCAAGTGCAGAACATTGAGGCTTTTGGAGCAAAAGGAGGCAGAGCTGACTAAGGCAGAGCGGGCTGAGGGAGGCGGTGAGACACGACAGAGGAGGGAGAGGTGGGAAGGAGGGGCTGTGGGATCCATACAAACACTGGCACTTGCGTGGGGAGCACCAGCAGCCGTCCCTGCAGGGGCACAGGGCCAGGAACGGGATCTTTGTGTGCCTGGGAGCCAGAGAGGGGCCCTGGCTCCCGTGGGAGGTGTTAGTGCCCACCTGAGGAGTTCCTCTCCCTCTTCCCAGTGCCCACAGCTCCTCCGGCCTGCCTGCAGCTCCCAGGGACGCAGCTGGGCACCCAGAGAGGGGCTGGGGCTGCCAGACCAGGGGATCCCATCCCAGGGGCACAGAGGCTGCTGGAGCTTTCCCAAATGGGAGCAACGCCTTCCCTTGGACACCCAGCCCAGCCCAGCCCAGCCCTCCTCCTCCTCCTCGTGCAGGGTCCAGGGCTGGACAGGACCAGACCCAACTCTGTCTCCAGCTGTGATTTAGCTTGGAGTCCTCAGCCTGCCCTTCCCTGCCGTGTCAGCTCCTGATCTCTGTCCCCACTTCTCTGAGCTGCTGTGAGAGCTCCTGGGAGGAGCCAAGCACCTGCTCAGGTGGTGGGGAGGCTCTGCTGTCTGCGGGTGACAATTAACTCCCTCTGCTCGGATGAGAAGGAGAACAGGGGAGGAACCTGCCCCAGGCAGGTTGTGTGGGACTGAGAATTGGGCTGCAGAGCCTTTTGGGGCAGGAAAATGCTACTGACCTTTGGCAAAAGGCACCATTCTACAAAGTCATGGTCGACACTGAAGCAAGTGAAGAGCAGGGAGGTCTTAAAAGAACCCAGTGACCTTGGGAGGGAGAGAAGAGGGAGAAGAGGGAGAAGAGGCCTTTCATGTTGAAATCCCACTCCAACCGCCCCTCTGCCTGCACGGGCACCTTCTCCAGCCAAAATCCTGGCAGGATGAGGGAGGGAACAACATCCTGCCTATCCCCTTCCACAGCACCTCCAGTCCAGGCAGGTAAATCAGAGCCCTTTGTGCAGAATCCTTCGAAACCTCCAGGCTTCACCCTGGAAAGATCTAGCACAGAGAAGAGCTCCCCGTGGAGCCTCACAGCACTGATCCTCCCAGCTTGCGCTCCCCACATGCCCCAAATTCCAGGGGTTTCTGCTTTCCCTGTTTCCTCTCTGGCTGTGCTATCCCTGGTGCCAGCCTCGCCTGCCCTTTGCGCTGCCCTTTGCGCTGCCCCCCGTGCCCTGTGCCTGCTGACCCAAATTTAAAATTAGGCACACCACATGGTCTTGTCTTTTGTCCCCGGCTGTCCCTCGGCGTGCTGGAATAAACCTCACTGGAATCCATCATACAAAAGGCCCTTGCTGCCTCTCTTGCCATGGTGAGCGAGGTGTGCGATGTGACTGCTTCGCCTGAACTCCTACCCAAGCACTTTCCACAGGAGATGCTTCCTGGGAGTTAGGTAGCAGCTTCCTCCTTCTAAAGCCCATGCTGCTACAACTTGGCACCCTGACCACGGGGCTTCTCCTTGGCCCTCTGAAAGCGTCTCCACTGGATTTTAAGTTGCAGTCAAGTGCTCCAGATCCCCGAGGGAAAATCCCCAATTTTCTGGGGAATTTCTCAGAGCCCCACCGACAACCCTCAAGACACCGAGGTCTGCTTGACTCAGCCAGTCTCCTGCAAGATCTTCCTCTTGAGCTGTTTTGTCCTTCTTTTCCACAATCTGAGCACTGAGGCGCCGAGAACTCGGCTGTGCCAACGCCAACCACGAGGAAGGGCGCCGGCTCCCCGAGCACTCCCGAGGCCGTCAGGCAGGACACGGAGAACGCTGCGAGCTCCCTTCCTCCCGCGTCCGAGGGTGAAGCCATCTCCAAATCCCAGCTGGCCAACCTGGACCTCTGACGGGCCAAGAGCTGTTTTCATCACAGGAGACACTGTTAACGAGTTATTCACGTGTGCTTCCAGAATCCAGCTGGTGGGGCCGATGGATGAGGTCACTGTGGCTGTCACACGTACAGAGCCGCCCTGGCGTCTGACTACACTGCCAAGCTTTTCTTCACCCACCTGGGCTCATGTCTGGCCAGAAAATCCTCTGGGATTTTGGGCAGAGGTGCTGGGCCAAGACAGACCTCTTACAGAGTGTGGCTTGTCCAACAAAGGTGCCAAAGTTTCTCTTCCAGGGACAGATGTCACCATCACTGTTCTCTCCAAGTGGCCACAGGGCTGGGAGTTTGGAGTCATCTCTGGGATTGGAGGAGCTGCCACTTCTATGTGGTGTAAAAGGCCAATCCTTATGAAAGGTCCTGAGGGTCAAACTGCACAGCAAGACCTTTTGTGGTAAAGGCACCTGTCATCCTTGGGGGCACAGACGTGTTGTCACAATGGGGAGCCAGACTAGAAATCCCTTCACGCCCGTGGGATTTCTAACTGTAGAAATCCCGTGGGGCCACTGCAGAGTGCCCCACCTCACCGCTGACACAGAAATGGGATGATCCCATTTGGGTGGAACAGTGGCCCCAGGCAGGACTCAGAATAAAGGTGCCTGAATCCCTAGTGCAGGAGCAGCTAGCTAAGGGCCACCCAGCACCATCCACTAGCCCTTGGAACAGCCCTGCCTTTGTCATTTGCAAACCAGGCAAAGACAACTGGAGGCTCCTACAAGACATCAGAAAGGTCAACGAGGTCATTGAGGACATGGGCTCTTTACAGCCTGGCCTGCCCTCGGTGCTCCTGAGATTGGAAATTGGCAGTCATTGATATCAGAGATTCCTTTTTAACATCCCGCTCCACCCCACAGATGCCCCAAATTTTGACTTTCTGTGCCATCAATTAACACACAAGCCCCTCTAAAAAGGTTATCAATGGCAAGTTCCTCCTCAGGCGATGAAAAACTCACGAGCCATCTGCCAAGTGTTCGTTGCCCGCGTTTTCTTGCCCACTGGGGAAAGATTTCCTGGTGCCACAATTTTTCACTACGTGGACGATATTCTAATTTGCACTGAGACCATTATTTGGAGACTGCTCTCAAAGAGCAGGATTTGAGATCGCTACAGAGAAGATTCAGCACAGCTGCCCGTGCACCCACCTTGGACTCCGAATCGGCGAGAGGACCATCGGACCCCAGCAGCTCGCCCTCAAGGACAACCCTGAGGGACATCCACCAGCCCTGTGGGAGCATCAGCCAGGTTTGTACACTGCTAGGGACCAGGACCGAGGACCCGTCACCCCTTTTCAGCCTTCTGAGAGGCCCTGGTGACCTTGACTCCCCACAAACCACCACACCAGAAGCCCAGGTGGAGATCCAGAAGGTATCAGAAGCATGAGGTCCATGAGACAAGCCCACCACGCTGATCCTACCCTGCCCTTCCAATTTGCCATCCTGGGTAAGCAGCCAAGTTCCAGGGGTTTGTTTTCCAGTGGGACCCCGCTGGAGAGATCAGCTCCTGGTCACAGAGCGGGTGCTTCAGTCACACAAACCAAACACGACCACCACAACACCCCAGGAGCTTATGGCCCAGCTTATCACAAAGGCCAGAGCTCGCCTCAGGACCCTAGTGGGGTGTGAATTCTCTTGCACAAATCTTCCAGTGACATCAGACAGTCCAGAGCCTTTATCCAAACCAATGAACACCTCCAGTTCCCTCCTGACAGCCAGCCAAGCCCCATCTCCGTTCACCCAGCAAAACATGAACCATTAATGCTTGCTTTAATTTGGTCCCAAATTCATTAAACAGTAGAACTGCTCTAAAGGCACAGACTGGATTTACTGATGGCTCAGGGGGATCCCACAAGTCAGTTATGACGTGGAAGAATCCTGACACTCAGGAGTGGGAGTCTAATGTTCAGATTGTTCGAGGATCCCCACAAATTGCAGAATTAGCAGCCGCTGTCAGAGCCTTTGAGAAATTAAAACAACCCTTAAATTTAGTTACTGATTCAGCCCGTGTTGCTGGGATAGCTGAAAGAGCAGAACATTCTTTGTTAAAGGAAGTGCCAAATCCAGATCTATACAGATTACTTTCGAAGTTAATATACCTCCTCTCCCTCCCCCCGAGAGCAACCACATCTCATCGTGCCCGTGAGGTCCCACACTGACCTCCCAGGACCAGCCACTGAGGGCAGCTGGAGAGCAGATCTCCCAGCCACGGCAGTGCAGACCACCCTACCTGATTTTCAATCAGGCCAAACTGAGCCATCAGTTTTTCCACCAAAATGTGCCAGCCCTTGTCCGGATGTTTAAAATCACAAAGGAGCAGGCAAGAGCAACCATGGGCTCCTGCCCCAGTTGCCAGGAGTTTGCTTTGCCCTCCACGGGGGCTGGGGTTAACCCCAAGGCCTCGAAAGTTTTCGGCTGTGGCAGATGTCACACACTGTGCACCTTTTGGGAGACAAAAATACATCCATGTGTCCACAGATGCGCTCCCTGGGGCTGTATTTGCATCAGCCCACGCAGGACACAAGACAAAAGATGTTATCCAACATTTTCTCCTGGTGTTTTCTACTCTGGGCATTCCCCAAGGCATCAAAAGAGATAATGGTCCAGCTTACACCCCAAAAATTCAAACAGCTCCTAGACAGATGGGCGGGAGGTGACATTAGCATACTGGCATACCCCACTCACCAACGGGGCAATCCATTGCAGAGAGGTCCACCACACACTCAAGAGAGCCCTGGACCAGCAGCATGGGATAAGCTGGAACACTACCAAATGTAGAATGATTATGTAAGGCTCTTTATGTCATCAGCTTTCTTAATAATTCATTCACAGAGCCAAGGCCTCCCATCATCAGGCACTTCTCCAACAGCAGCTGAGCTCAGCTCACTGAGAAACCCCCTGTGCTGATCAAAGCCCCCGAATCCAAACTAATCATGGGCCCATTTCAGGGGTTTTTTTGTAGTTTCCTGGGGGAGAGGTCATGCTTGCTTATCTACAGGATCTGCCCGAGGTGGATTGTGGCAGGAATGTCAAGCTGTACATGGAATGCAGCATCCAGAGACACTCCTGGACCTCAGAGACAGCAAAGAGATCAAGCTCAGGTGGTGTGGAGGAGAAGGAAGAGGAGTGTCAATGCAGATGTTCACCACAGAAGATGTTCTGCACTGCTCCAGAAGATGGTAAGGCTTTCTGTTGAGTTTCATTCACTTGTTATTTTGCACTGTTACCCCTCTTTAGCTGGTTTTACTGCTACCTCTCCTTAGTTTGTTGCACTGTTATCCCCTCTTGTTTTCCCACACCTTTTCTACTCAGTAAAAACTGAGGGGATAAGATGGGAAGATATGAGGGACTATTAAAGTAATATAAGTCTAAAAATCCATTTTTCCAAACTCACAGATCAACTCACCCCCAAGTATCCTGCCACGTCTCAGTGGCAGGGAATCCCCAACTGTTCCAGACAGGATTTGGATGCTCCTCACCTTTCCATCGGCTGGTGCATGGATTGTCCCTCAGCCCAGTCAGAACGTCTGGGTCACACTGGTCAAGACCTTACAGCAAGACAACCTCTGCCTGTCCATGGGCAGCTGTCGACCTGCCTGCTAGGGGCTCCTTTAGCAGCAAATGAATGCCCATGTACAGATACAAACCCAATCTGGCAGATGCTTGGGATGGGTGGACCAAGACCCTGCCTCAAGCACCAGAGTAACCCCAGGGTCAGAGCTGCTGGGATCTTCCAAAGCTCATTACTGTGTCCGACTTCAGTACCAACCTCCCAACCAACACCTGAGCTGCCCTGAACTTGTTCTGTCTACCCATAGGAAAGATGTAACCCCACTTAACAAAAATTACACCCCCAAATTGGTGCAATTACACCAGTCCTGCACTTTCTCCATCCTCACTCCATCCCAAAATGCTGCCCCGGGGAGCGTTCCTTATCTGTGGAGGCTGAGTACGGGCTGGGATCCTTCCAGGGGGTCCCTGTAGCCTTGGCCAGCTTTCTACCCCCACAATTGGAAACAAAAGGGAAATTGGCACGCCAAAAGAGATCATATACTGAATTTGATGAAAATTGCAACAGACAAAACAAAGAAAACAAAGTGGGAACAAAGAAAACAGTGGCGGTCTCAGGCTGCTACACTTTGGGTGCTCACTCAGGGGTCAGCAGCAGACAGAGCTGCCCCTGAGGCTGGGCACTGCCCCCGAGAGCTGATCCCAGCGTGTGGATGTGATCAGGGAGCAGGCTGGGCACTGCCCTGCCAGGATTTGGGAATTCTGGGCTGTGCCAGGAGTGTTTGGGGGGTCAGACCCCCCCAGCCCTCGCTCTGGGGGCATTTTCTGGCTGTGCTGGGCAGATGAGGCAGAGGCAGGGTGAGGCAGCTGTGAGCAGGCATTCCTTGGAATACCGAGTGGGAATTCAGTGTGGAGTCTGCACTCCCCCATCCCTCCAGGGCACAGCAGCCCCTGCTGGGTGGGCCCTGCGGAGGATCTCCTGCAGCACTCCCGGGGCCCCATCCCACGTTCCCTTTGCCTATTCCCAGTCCAGGCACGAGGCAGTGTCACCCTGGCACTGCTGCTGTGACAGAGGCTCCGACACCAGCCCGGGCCCGGCGCTGTCCCTTCGTGGAGCATCTCCCACAAGAGTGGCACAAACTGGAGTTGGCTCTTCACCCTTCTCTGGGGTAACTGAGGCACGAGGGGAAGGGGCATCCCACAGGCTCTGGTCAGGAATGTGCTTGGGGAGCCCCACTGGGTCTCGGTGTCCCCGGCGTCACCCACCAGCCCAGCAGCATCCAGCAGGCAGGGACACCACCCTCAGGGCAGACAGGAGGAGGAGTGTGGGCAGAGGAGCAGCAGCAGGATGAAGTCACTCACGAGGAGGTGGTTTCCAGCTCTCAGATGTCCAGGGGTCACTTAAAGCTCTGGCAGCAGGAGTGCCCGGGAGGTGGCACTCGGTCACGGCGACAGGAACCTGCGGAGGTGCCTGCCTCGTGGGGAGGGCTCTGCTCCTCCCCATAGGGTGCAGGCAGCCCAGCACCCTACAGCTCCCTGGAGCCGAGCTGGGCTAAGCTTGGGCTGGGAAGGAGCGGGTAACCCTTCCTGCTAGCTCTGGGAACAGAAGCCACTGGAGCCCTCGGGTGCGAGGAGGGCGCGCGGGGGTGCTGGCAGCGCGGGTACTGGGGCACGGCTGCGCTGGTGCTGCTGCCCCGGGCAGGCTCACGGGGCCCGGGCAGGCTCACGGGGCCCGGGCAGGCTCACGGGGCCCGGGCAGGCTCACGGGGCCCGGGCAGGCTCACAGGGCCTGGGCAGGCTCACGGGGCCCGGGCAGGCTCACGGGGCCTGGCCCCCGCCCAGCGGGATCTGCAGCAGCGTGGGGGACTGCTCCATGATGCGCACCAGCAGCTGGTCGATGTAGTTCTCCAGCTCGTGGATGTGCTCCTCCTTCTTGCTCAGCTCGCCCTCCTTCTGCAGCAGCAGCTGGATCAGCTCGTCGTGGGTCAGGTGGTAATACTTGGCTGACTGGTCCAGCTGGGTGGGCTCCTGCTGGGAAGCAAGAGGGACGTTCAGGGACTGGAATTAAAACCTCTGCTCCTGGTGATGTTTGCAGGATGCAGGCAGAGCGCTCCTACTTTCCATGTCTGTCTGTCTAAACTGGAGAGGCAGCACTGGGACCCACAGAGACCTTGTGTGCTCATAAAGCACCAGCTGAACTCCCTGCAGCACCCACAGGGCCTCTGAGACCCACAGGGTTGTGCTTGTCCTTCAATCAGGTGAACCCCAGCAGCATTTTCCAGGTGACACTGGGGAGGCAAACGGACCGGGAGTGGCCAAAGGGATGGAGGGGTCACCCTCACAACACCCCGTGTTCTCAGAGGTGCCACAGGAGCTTTGTTGGCCCCAACACAGCAGTGTTTGGGAGTGCATCCAGGTCAGCAAAGTTCCAGGAGGGACCTTCCCCTGCCAGGATTAGGAACCCTTCAGAGCATCACTCGGGCAGCTACTACACCTACCACCTTCCATACCTTGTGGAGACCAGGTTGGAAGGGGCTTGGAGCAGCATGGGACAGTGGGAAGTGTCCCTGCCATGGCAGGGGTGGCACTGGATGGGATTTAAGGTCCCTTCCAAGCCAAGCCATTCCATGTTTCTACAGGGATTCACCCACACCCTGCACAACAGCAGCCCCAGACCAAAGCAGGTGATGGGAGAACGATGGGGTGAGGAGGTGCAGAGCCCACGGGAGAAGGGAGGCAGAGCAGCCCACGGCCTGGACCCGCACCCACCCCATGGCAGGCCTCCCCCAACCTGCAGCAGGCCTGGCACAGCCTCCCACCCTTACCTTGGGGTCGGTTTTGCCTGCCTGGCTTTGGCCGGCCGGGGCCAGGGGCTGGACGCTGCTCGTGGCCGCCGTCTTCAGCCTCTCCAGGCCATTGCTCAGCGCCGAGCTCAGGCTGGCCCTGGGCTGCTGCCTCCTCTCGCTGGAGCCCTCCTGCACAGCACTCAGGGGCTTCACGGGGTGAGGGCTGTGGGCAACAAGGGTGGCACAATCAGCACCCGCAGCTGCTCCCTCTCCCCGGCGCTGAACAGGGATGGCAGCAGCCAGGAGACTGAGGAACAGCTGAACCCCGCTGCCTGTGCCCCCCGGAGCTCTCCTGCTCCGAAGAGAGCCAGCGGGGCAGGGCAGAGCCCATGGAGCTGCTCCCACCCGGGCAGGAGAGAAGGAGCCCCGGCAGATGAGTTTGGCTGAGATGCCCGTTCCCACACCTGCACTGCCCATCCTCGCTGGGAACGCCGTGGGCCACAGCTCCCGGCTGCCAGGGGCTCAAACACAGCTCCAGTGTGACCAGAGCCTGCTGCACCCACTGCCCAGAGCAGCCTTCTGCTGCCCAGGGACCCCCAGCTTAGTCTGGGGTCACCACTGATGCTCCAGCCCAAGAGTTGAATGTCACCTGCCTGAAAGCCACCACAGAATGTGACCCCTCCGCAAGGCCAAGAGGAGGGTGAGTAGCCAGTCAAGGGGGAATTAGATTTTCATTTATTTTTGCCTCACTTTTCACCCAAGAAAAGGTTCTTTCTGGGCTTGAACAAAATCCAGTTCCTTCTCAGCGGGATGGAAAGAGAAGTGACCTGATGCTCCCTCCCTGCAAGGAGCAGGCACAGCTGTGCACCATCCTTGGGATGGAAACATCCCGATTTCAATCTACTGGGATGGAAACATCCAAAAATCCATTGGGATGGAAACATCCAAATATCTGTCCATTGGGACAGAAACATCCAAACACCTGTCCTTGGGATGAAAACATCCAAACACATCCATCCATTGGGATGGAAACATCCAAACCTCCTTCCATTGGGATGGAAACATCCAAATATCTGTCCATTGGGATAGAAACATCCAAACATCTATCTTTGCGAAGGAAACATCCAAAAATCCTTCCATTGGGATGGAAACATCCAAATATCTGTCCATTGGGATGGAAACATCCAAACATCTATCTTTGCAATGGAAACATCCAAACACATCCATCCATTGGGATGGAAACATCCAAATTTCAATCCACTGGGATGGAAACATCCAAACCTCCATCCATTGGGATGGAAACATCCAAATATCTATCTTTGGGATGGAAATATCCAAATACATCCATCCACTGGGATGGAAACATCCAAATTTCAATCCACTGGGATGGAAACATCCAAACACATCCACCTATTGGGATGGAAACATCCAAACCTGCGTCTTTGGGATGGAAACATCCAAACATCCATCCATTGGGATGGAAGCACCCAAACCTCCATCCATTGGGATGGAAGCACTCAAACCTACATCCTTGGGATGGAAACACCCAAACCTCCATCCACTGGGATGGAAACGCCCAAACCTCCATCCATTGGGATGGAAATGCCCAAACCTCCATCCATTGGGATGGAAACGCCCAAACCTCCACCCACTGGGATGGAAACGCCCAAACCTCCATCCTTGGGATGGAAACACCCAAACCTCCATCCACTGGGATGGAAACGCCCAAACCTCCATCCACTGGGATGGAAACACCCAAACCTCCAGCTGGGAGCTTTGCAAAGCCTCTCACGAGTGACAGCCCCACCAGCTGCCGTGTCCTCGTGCCTCAGCCATGCTGATGGGACCAGGACATAGCAAGGATGTGGAAATCCTCTTCAGCCACGATGATGCCTCCTGCTGTCCCCGTGCTGGCAGGGACAGCACTGGCAGCCACCAACCTGCTGCAACAAGCCAAAGGATCAGCTCTTCCCAAGGGACAGCACAGGGGAGCTCTGATCTCTTCCCTCTGGTGACCAGGGCCAGCACCAGGGAATTCTGGAGCTCGGCCAGAGAGGTTTAGGAGATCAGGAAAGGTTCTTCCCCAGAAGTGCTGGCACTGCCCAGGCTCCCCAGGGAATGGGCACGGCCCCGAGGCTGCCAGAGCTCCAGGAGCCTTTGGACAGCGCTCTGGGGATGCCCAGGGTGGGATTTTGGGGGTCTGGGCAGGGACAGGAGTTGGGTGGATGACTCTGGTGGGTCTCTCCCAGCTCAGCACACTCTGTGATTCTCTGATCCCTTGGCAGAGCTGTCCAGGCACAAGGACAGAGCCCAGGATTCCTGGGCAGCTGGAAAGGATGCAGAGGGATCCCACAGCCCGAGCGGGGCGTCACGGACAGTGCCAGGGGCTGGAGGAGTGGCTGCTCTGCACATGAGGCTCCAGCACTGCCCACCGGACTCAACCCTGACCAGGAGCTACAAGCACCAGGCCAGGAGTGAGGAGGGGGCTGGGGGAGCTACCAGGGCTGCTCATCAGAGCCAGGCCTGAGCCCCGGTGTCACTGTCACCTTGTGCATCCCCACAGCCAGCACTGAGGCCACAGCCAGAGCGTGCCTGGGAACCTCCCTGGGAAGCCAGTGGGAATGCTCGGATGTGTTTGACAGCAGGGGGATATTCCCACCCAGGGGTGGTCCCAGGCAGCTGCCAGCCCCACAGCCAGTGGGAACAGTCGCTGCTGCAGGGCTGGAAAAGGTACTTTTGAAAAGAAATCATTCTCCTACTGCTTCCCACTGGGTGGTGCACGCAGGGCTCTTTGTCTCTGGGAGGATCCAAGAGCTGGAGACATTCCTCGAGCTGTTTGTCCTGGGATGGTGGCACCAGGTCCTTCCAGAGGAGCAGGGGAGCTTCACACCCCACAGCCAGGTCTGAAGGTCTGGTGGACCTGCCAAGAAGCTGGACCAGTTTCCTCTCCTGGTCCTTGAACATCAGCTCCAGCCTGGAATCAGCTGCTCACCGGCTCCTAATCCAGAACTGCATCCCAAGTGGATCTGAGTTATGATGGAGCTTAAGGCCAAGGTGGAACATCTCAGGGTGACGCTAGCCCAGCCCTGTCCCAGCCTTGCCCTGTCCCAGCTTTCACTGGTGCTCCCAAGGTCACTGCAGAGCACAGGGGAAAAACAGGAACATTTCCCTCAGCACCTCCCAAAGGGAGCCTTTAAATGCTCATCAAAATGCTCCTCACAGAGAAGAAATCCAGGGAAACCCTCTCCCATGGCCCAGCTCCTGTGCCTGGAGCACCACCCAGCACCCAAGGGCCCGCTCTCCATGGAGCAAGGGTCTGGAGGAGGAAGGGGAATGGCTGGGCTTGGGATCAGCTCTCCAGCTCTGGCCCTGGGTGGCTCCAGGGGCTCCAGGAGGATCACCAAGAGGAGGTGACTTCACCTGACAGCTCATTTTCAGACACAGCAATCCTCTGCAGCCCGGCACGAGGGAGGCACAGCCCGTGCCACCACCTTGGCACCTGTGACATCCCCGCTCCTGTCACCTGCAGGTGCCACAGGATGCCGGGCCAGCCCCACATCTAAGGGAGCAGGAGCTGCACAGCTGCTGGGCTCCAGTGCAGCAGCAGGACTGCACAGCTGCTGGGCTCCAGTGCAGCAGCAGGACTGCACAGCTGCCGGGCCCCTGCAGGCAGTGGAGCTCCCCAGGCTGTCCTTGGGGTCCGTCCTGTCCTGGGGATGTGCCACGGCCCCAGCAGTGGAGGCACCATCCTGCCCTACCCCGGGAGCAGCAAAGGGCCCTCCGCACACCTGGGAGCTGCAGCTGATGCTCCCCTGCCCCAGCAGCCACACAGGATGACCAAAGAGCCTCTGGCCGCTCAGGAAGGGGCTGTGGGACCCCATTCCCAGTTTCCAGCTGGTTGAACCCCCCCACCCCAAACTCTCACCATCCCACACCAGGCACCCTCTCCCCTTCACCTGCAGACACTTTTGTGCCAGCCAGGACTTAATGTCCATTCCAAGTCTGAACTATTTCCTTTTTCCTTCCACCTTTTTTCTACCATCTTTCCCTCATCTTTGTGCCTCTGGCGATTCCAACAGGAGATGATCCTGGGAAGGGCAGCATGGCCGTGGGGATTGGGAAAAGATCCCTTCTAGCCTTCCTCCCTCAGCCTGGGACAGCTCTCACATCTCCCCAGTCCTATAAAGCAGCTCAGAACATCAGAGCCTTCCCCAGAGGCCTCAGGAGCTCTTCAGAGGTTCTTCAGTCGCAGCAAATATCCAAAATGTGCTGGAGGAACACGAGCAGGGAAGTTCAGGAGCTCCTGGCCACAGGTCACAACAGAAGCCAGCATGGATATCCAGGATATCCAGCTCTTGGATCCCAGTCACGACAGAAGCCAGCACTGATATCCAGGATANNNNGGATATCCAGCTCTTGGATCCCAGCCCATCCCACCCCAGGAGCCAGCCAGGATGGATACACAGGCACGGCTGGGGATGACCACGAGCAGGTACAACCAACCCAGAGACTCCTGTACTTCCCTCAGTGCCTCAGTTACCCCTTCGGGATCACAGGACACTTCTCTTTCCATGAAACATATCAAAATCCACGTTTCTGCGCAGCATCCCTGCAAATTTTGAAGAAGGCTGGCTGCTGGTGGATGAATAATCCAATTAAAAATGATTGGAGGAGCTGGCTTAAATAAGAAGAAAAAATATCATCTGACAGACACAGCCAGATGCTGTCTTTGCTCCCGAGATCACTTGGCACCTCATGCTCAACCCAAGAAGGGATCCTGCTGTGGAAGGACTGGAGCTCAGTGAGTTCTGCTGGCCCCATCCTCCCTCCCTTCCTCTCCCCAGGGCCACAACCAATCTTGCTCTTGGGGCAGGTGGGATTTTTTACCATTTTGGTGCCCCCAGGAAGCTCCATCTGCCTCACGGTCAGGGAGGCTGATCAATGAATCCCTGCTGGAGCTTGGTAAATCCCTTGGGCAGGCAGAGCCCAGCAGACCGGGGGAAGGAGCACCAGGAAAATGAGATGAACTGAAGGACACAGAGCAAGACTCCATGCCCTGAACTCAGCAGCTTTGCTTCATGGCATTTGTACAGACCCACGACTGACCTGGGAGGAGGAACAGCCCCTTCTTTCCACCCTCCCCATTCCCACCAGCCTCAAGGCTAAACCCCGCGTGCCTCATCACCAACGGGCATCTGGCAGGAGGGAGGGGAGAGGGGCATT